GTAATTACCGTTAATCCGTTCCGGCATCCGCGGACCACGCGTCAAGGGCGGAAAAACGGCCGCGGACCACGCAGCAGGGCGGAAAAATGGCCACGGACTGTGCGGCAGGGCGGAAAAACGGCCACGGACCGCGCAGCAGGGCGGAAAAACGGCCGCGGACCGCATGGCAGGGCGGAAAAACAGCCGTGGACCACGTGGCACGGGCGGAAAAACAGCCGCAGACCATGTGGCATGGGCGGAAAATGGCCGCGGATCTGGTTCGTACCCCAAGGCGGAGTTCGCAAACCGAGGTAAATTTTTGCGGCCGGAGCTGGTCGCAACCCGAAAAGTTCGTAAGCAGAGGCGTTCGTAACCCGAGGTACCACTGTATTTAAACATTCCATAATATCTCAGCACAGAATCATTTTAAGCAGCCAAAGCCAAAAACAAAAACAAAATAATAAATGTTAAAGACTACTTTTCTTCATTTTTTTCTCTACAGTTGTAAGTTGTGCCATTTAAAATTACACAGATCTGGGATTGACTATTCAAACAGGAATACATTTATCTATATGTTGTGCTTACACACAAATTTGAAACAGTGTAGTGTCTATGGAAGTGGAATTTTGCTGATCAGTAGGGCTCCACTAGGGAGCACCAACACGTTATCCAGTGCTGTAAATCAAATTTGTATGATCTTCACCCGTAAACTATTGAGTAATAAAGACTCAGTAAGCAGGCTTCTGCACACAGGGTGTAGATTCTGTCCAATTTATTAACTCAAACTGGGCCAAGGTCACAGAAGGTATACTCAGACAATGAGATCAGCAGCCATCCTCTTCATCTAAAGCAGTATTTCCCAACCTGGACAACCTTGATAGGAGTGCATTCAATGCCTAGAATTCTTAGCAATGGCCATGCTGTCTGGGGAATTCTAGTTGTTGCACACATCTTAAAGTTCTCAAGTTGACTAGGGAAGTGAGATCTAATATGAGCCATACATACTTTCAAATACATGTATATAATATATGAGTGGTTTATGAAACAAGTATCCATGAATCATACGAAACAGCTTATATATTTAATAATAGCTAAATGTCTTTTAAAATATTCATGCACCTCATTCTCTTTTTATTATTTCATTCATCTGCCAACTCTTGAGGACTCTATCCATTTGTTTGCCTATATGCATTGGTGCCTGCTCTGCTTTCTTCAGAATTTTTCATATATAAATTACTTTCCAGCCTGTCAACCTAACCCAGGGAGGATAACTTCTTAGCAGAAGTAGGTTTTTCATATGGGTCATTACCATGCTTTAGGATCTGTATACATCTATACTCCCAGAAAATAGTCAGCTCTATCAATTAAATGTTCATTTATTAAAGTCATAACTAGTGACTAGGAGATTGGTCATCAACTTTCATTATTCCCAAGCACATTTTCTCTGCAGAAACAAAGAAATCAGAAATCAGAAAAATATTCATTCTTTAATAGGAAGCTCTAACTCAAACTGAATCTCCTCAGCATTAAAATTCTATCTTTTAATTTAAAAAAAAACACATTCCAACATGGGGCAACTACATTTTTGTGCTTTTATTCTCCACCCCCCCCCTTTCAAACCAGACAGTGACTCACAGGCAGGCTTATGAAAAGCCAATCCGATAATAGAAGCGATCCTATAGTACTACATCTGACCCTCATGACAAGGCAACCTGACATTTAGATGGGAGAAAACATGAGAGAGGCAAAATACAGACATTTCCTGAAAAGGCCCAGGGTAGAAAAACAAAATCAGTGACAGATATAAAATACTCTTAAAACTGCTGACTTTTGAAACCGAGTTATTGCTTTTTTTAAAATTTAAGCCAATCACAATTATCTTTACTGACTTAATTCATTACATAGCAAATTCTTTTCATAGTACAGTTTCTTCTGAATATTTATGTTCTATGAGCCTAAGAATAGTAATTCAAATCCACATTCCTATTTCTAAGCACTTATCTCTACAAACCTTTATGAAACCAATCCTTTAAACATGTGAAGGAATGTGTTGACATGAATAGGACCCCCTGCCTATCTACACAATATACATTAGAAAGAACACAGAATGCAAATGGGGTAAGAAGTGGAGCTTTCTATCACAAACTATCAATGTAAATTGACAGAAATGTGATATGTCAGGTACCCAAATACCTTGCTTAATCAGATAACGAAAAGCAGGCCAGTGTTCAGATTTTATTGTCAGTAACTTTATGTGCATTCTGCTCAACATAAGTTAAATGAGGGTGATGGCACTTCTTAGAACCACTTGTAAGTTTTTAAAAATACTATATTGTAAATATGACTATGTGCAATTTATGCAATGAACATTAAATTACATGGAATTAAAATTCTAATTAAGGTAGCCACAGATGATGATGAAAAAGTTTAATGTTTCTACAACTTAGGCCCCAAATAAAATTTAGGTGATGCCATAATGGCAAGTCTGAAAATGAGATAAATCTGTTGTTCAAAATTTTAAAAAGTATAGTCTAGTATCAAATTCTCTAGCAAAGACCAGATTGAACTGCATGTGAAACAATATGAAGGAGTACAAGACCCAAGTCAGAGAGAAATTTGCAATATAGATAGCCCTTGCTTAACAATGATAATTGGGTCCAGAATTTCCATTGCTAAAGCAATACGGTCATAGAGTCTGACATCACATGACCACATTGCTTAATGACAGCAATCCTAGCAGTCCTCGTTGCTGTTGTTAAGCGAGGATCACGGGTCCTTAAGTGAGGTCCTCACATGACTGTAACTTACGACTTTCTGCTGGCTTTGCACAAACAATGTCAATGGAGAAGCCGGCTGGAAGTTGCAAGTCCCCGGCAGCTCTCAAGCAGGCAAGTGGGTGGGAGAGTACTATGGAGTGAGGCGGGGTGGGGGTGGCTGCAGCAGAACTCCTTGGGAGAAAAAGTCATGGGAGCAACTTGCAACCTTCCCTGCCGGCTTCCCCATTGACTTTGTTTGTGGGAAGCTGGCAGGGATGGTTGCAAATGGCAATCACGTGAGCACAGGACGCTGCAGCTGTCATAAGTGTGAGCCAGTTGCAAAGCGCCCGGATCGCGATCATGTGATTGCAGGGGTGCTGGGACAGCCAGAACTTGAGGCCCAGTCATAAGTACCGCTTGTGCAGCATCATCGTAACTTTGAACAGTCGCTGAACAAGTGGTCGTTAACAGAGGACTACCTGTAGCACCTAAGAGTATATCAAAGTTGCAGAATACAAACAGGTTTCAAAGTCACAAAATTTCAACAGATGGCAGGATTTGCCCTGACTCTGTCTGGATTTGAAAGCAAAGTAAGGCCAGGCCAGATGAGTATTTTTATGAGAGACCACCAGGACTGGGAAATTGAAAAACATTCTGCAAAATGCAATGGCAAACCACTTCCACATTGTTGCCAAGAAAACTACAGGGTTACATCCTTGTAGTCACTAGGACATGGGCTTGATTCAAGACTGTTTTAATCTTTAACAGTATACTAAAATGCTGCACCTAATTTTAGAACTATATATTAATAAAATTCATTAGAGTAGAAATATGATTTAGGTTTCCCAATTAGAATAAACTGACATTCAAAGCAAACAAGGAAAATTGAGAAAAATAACAGTACCAAAACTAAAAGGATATTTGCAGTTTTGTTTTGCTTACTAAATTATCAAGAGTCCACAATAATGTTTTCTGGTACTGAAATAAATAAATAAATGTGGATATGTATTTATATTTGCAGATCACTTCTATAAATAGTCAAAAACTGACTCTTTCCTCATTATCTTTCTTTTCTCTCCCCAACCCTTCTCCACACCATTGCTTTTTCTTGCTGCACCAGATTTTTCAAATTCTTTAGTTATTTCCAGTGTCACTGTTTTCCCTCTGATTAACCTTTCTTTCCCCCTTCTGCTTTAAGTCATTGTGCTTTCAAAAATTTACATTTTTCTCACACCTTGGATTCTCTACTGCATTTCACATTTTCCCCCACGTCTTTTTCCTCCGCGTATTTTCTTGGATGAATTCTTCTCAGTACATGCATGCAGTCCCTTTCCCATTTCTTTTCAGAATGATGCTTTCCTCAGCTTTTCAACATCCATAAGATCTACTTTTCAAATTGCATTTCACAGAACTATCATAACTATTTTCATATTATACCAAATAACTGAGATACACAACAGCAATATGTAACTGATAAAACAGCTGATGTTTTAAAAACTGTTCTTTCAACCTAGTAGATATCAATTCTCCTGTATCTTTGAAACAGACAACTGAGAACTAGCTTGTAAACAGGTATAGTTCTAATTATAAACATTAATTAGTGACTTTAAAAGATGGATAGTTGACTGTAGCTAGGAAAAACAAAGGTCAGTTTAGTCTAAATCCCTGAAGCCCAACCTACCCAATCCTGCTGTACATACACACTTCCCTTCATGCTTTTTCTTTTATTTCTCCTCTTTTTCTCTTACACTTTTTAATCTGCTTCTCTGGGCTATATTTTCCTCATGTTCCTCCTATTTTTTTACAGGAATCCTAAAAAATATCAGTCAGTCTGAACTACTTTATTACAAGTAATATTGAAAAAAATGTGCTGTCATATAAATGATATGAAAAGAAACTAAGCTGAAGATGCCAAGTGAAAGAAGAAACAAGGTGATCAGATGGAAAATTGAGAGAAATTCACAGACTGTACAATTGTTCTCTTCCAGTATATTAAACTATTGAAATATTAACATGCATTTAGTTTTTTTAAACATTTTACCCACAAGAAAGAAAGAAAAACAGGTGTACCTGAATACTACTGTTAATCTATTCTGATTTTTTTTATTATTTATCTACAAAATACAGAAACTAAAAAAGCAAAAATGCAAAAGAAAATCAGACAAATTAAACCAGACTTCCTTCACAAAAGAGTGTATAAACTACTATTTTATTAATTATTAAAGATTTATCATTAATAATTGTTCTCACAAAATTATATGATCTCTTTCCACATTTTCTGGTACTCGTTTTCTAATAACAAATGTCTTTTAATATTCTAAAGGCTGCTTTCAAGTTTGTGTTATTTTAAAAAAATCTGTTATTTCACAATATGCTTTTTAAATAATGCTTTTATCTTGTATATTAAAGGTAATGATGGATATTTCTTTCCCCATCATCTATAAATGATGGTTGTGTGGATTTCTTTCTAATGTTTTGTGACAAAACATGTGCACGCTTAATATATTTCCCACCATTTTACATAATTTATTTGGAAATATCTTTGGAAGTCTATTTATGATAAAAACAGTTGAATCAGAAGTCCACCTGTAACCTGTAATTTCTTAATCATTTTTCTATTACTTTGTATTAAAAAATCTTAATGATTCCTAATTTTACAGCGCATTAAATATATTTTACTGATATACATGGTCACTTATCAAACAAATTTGTAAAGCGCTATAGCCAGACAGGTATACCGTCATCTATACAGACATTTTCTCCAATTTGAATACAGTTTGAATCTATAAAAGAAATTGATTGGTTTATTCAGACAGTACAATAAGCTAGGGCTTCTTTACTCATGGTTTATGGAATAAGCCATATTTGGTTGGTTTCATAGAATACATGAAACTATAAATAAGCAAACCACATTATGGCTTAACCACTGACTTTCCACTTCTAGCATGGATCCTACCTTTTTCCAAAACTACTCCTAACACTTCTCATGAAATTTCATGAGCTCTTACCTTGTCTATATTGTTGTGCTTTCTCAACTTCTCTGGGTGTGGAGAAATTCCAGAATTAGCATCCTTTGGAAGAAAGATTGCTGTAGACTTTTTAAAAAATGGTTTTATTCGTAAGTATACAAGAACAGCATCAATGAAAACAAGTAGAAGATGTAGATTTGCTTCCATTAAAAAAAACTGAAGAGAGATACTGAGTAATAGCAGCAGCAGTTGAAACATGAATAGGAGTGCCAGCAGTTGGAACCTCAGATGCCTGGAGTGAAAATATGGACTAATTTTTCATTTCCCCTACTGCCTCTCCTTTTGCTGCCGAAGTACTAAGAACCAATTTCATCTTGATCTGATATAAGCATTTACTGGGAAACAGGAAATGGCCTTGTTTTTTCTAAATGTCAGAAACTACAAAGCCTTGACCCTCAGGTTACCAATCAAGCATTTTCCAGACTCAATTTCATTCAACAGTGGGGATCTGGAAGCCCAGGGATGCATGTGCCCCATTTTTATCTTCTTTGCTATCCAGTTTTTTCACATCCTCCAGAGTTTTTCTTATAAGTATCCCCTCCCCAAAATGCCACAGATAGCAGTACTTGGTTGATCTTGTCCAATCTTATCCAAGTTAGACAGGGTCACGCCTAGGATGAGAGTCCTCCAGGGAGTCTACCACCACTGTAGATTAGACTGGGAAGTTTAAAAAAAGCCAGAAGAAAATAATAGCAAACCACTTCCAAGTTGTTGCCAAGAAAACTGAACTGTGAGTCATGCTCAAGCCAAAGCTATCTTAAAATTTGGGGGGGGGGGCGGGGGGAGTTCTGCAAAACTCAAAATTCTACCTGAACCTAGGAAAAATTCTGGCCTTAGACCCATCTGTGCCATGGCTCCACCTATTTTTCACCATTATCCCATGAAATCCTCAGTCATCTCAACACATGGAGTACCATTTCTAAGCATCAAAGTGGCCCACTCCCATCCACTTCTGCTATTACAAAGCCTCACTGGGATTATGTCACCTCAGGCTCATATACAATTCTGAAATTATGCCCCCCTTCCAAAAAAACCCCCTGCATATCTATTTTTGTGCCATTAAAGCTTCTTTCAGGCCACCTGGAGTCATTTTATTCACAGTTATTATTGTCCAACCAGTATGAAGTTATATCTTTGTGTCTAAATTTGTTTCCTATTTGTAAAATACATAGTACATTGACCTCACCAGTTTTATCACTATTAGTTTGGTTACAGTTTTTATTTGCTGTCTCCAATTGTCTTTCCTTTTTTTTTTTTCTGTTTTAATTGATCAATGACCGTAATAAAGTTTATTGATTGATTGACATTAAGCCTTCTCCTTGTTCTGAGAGTTCAACTACTTTAAAAAAGTACCAATGAGTTCACTGGGTTTTACTTCCTATGAAGTAGGTCTAGAATTGCAATCTAAACATAAGCAAATTCATTGCTCATTTGCTGTACTCCCATTCCTCTTGGTGTAATGCAATGTCATCAGATGGATGTACTTGCAAAGATAAATAGGATTATATCTGAAGTATAGCCCATATTAAATATTTAACACCCTGGTAATAGCTACCTCCAGCCTATCGTGTACTCATTTAAGATTAACAGGCTTGAAGAGGAGATATATGGCCTAAGTGAAATCTCCCCACAACTAGCACATATCCTCCCTGTCCTAGTAATGGCCTCGGAAGAGGAACAAAGGCATGATACCTGCACTGTGGGCAAGTTCAAACTCTACACCTGGCCCTAAACAAGCCTTTTTAAAGACAGAACTGGAAGCAGAGGAATGGGCTGCTGTAAAATTGGCACTGGCATTATTCATCATTGCACACTGAGAACACTGGCTGTCTCTAATGGTTTAATTTATCATGGGTAGCTCAGGTCAACATCAGGTTTATTTTAGGAATTATCAACTCTGTGTTTGTAAATGTATCCAAGAACAAAATGAAAATGCCTGAAATAAATTCTTAGGAAGCAATATAACAGTTCTGGCAGGATTTTTTTCCCCGAGTTAGCAATTTTCATACTAGAATCTAGGTTTCTGTTTAAATGTTATTTCATTTGTTTAAAATATAGAAAAAACAATTTCTACCTCTTTTTCCTTCAGAGAGCAGCAATATCAAGCATTTTGTCTTTTGATAGTTTCTTTTTGCAGATTTTTGTCTCTTTTTTACTCAAAATACTAAAGCAAAGCAATGTAGATATTGAATGTTAAATCATGTTCTGTAACTCTTGATTTAATACCCAATATACTAAGTCATTTCATGAAATTCACACCATTAAAAAATAAATCCTGAACATAATACAAAGAATATTCTTCAACAAGGCAATAGGTAGAATCATGTGTGAAACAGGAATTGTATTCGCTGTTGGCATTTTCCAGATTGTATTCTAAAAATACAGGTAATGTGTCATTATGAAAAGTTCTGCAATAAGTGAATTATTACATAATATACAGTAGTAGGAGTGTTATAGGCTGATAGTTCCTCTTTAGCTTACTGGAAGAATAATGTGCTGAAAGGAAGGAGAAAACGTGTGTGAGCAAGAATGGAAGAACACATTTTCTCCACTGCCATGTTCACAGATGGCACATACTCTTCTTGGGGCTATTTTAGTAGAAGTGCATGGCTGGAGAGAATGAAAAATATTAAAAATAGTTTCCCTCCTAATTGTGATACTTTTTATTTATTAGTTTAAGCTATAGTGACCATACATCCTTTATTATAAAGGACAGTCCTTTACTTCAGAATTTTATTTTTCAAAAACTCACTTTTGTCCTTTGTCATTTATTTTGTCCTGTAAAATGGTACCACTTAATGCACAGTCCGATTGCAGAAATCCTTTTTAATAGTTGCTTCTTATAACTTTATTGCTTTTTAGATATTTTTATTACAGTATGTGTTTTTGTAAAGTTTTTCTTGGTTTTGCTCTTGAAATTTCCTTCGTAAAGCAAAGTTATAAACAATTAAAAAATTTTATCCTTGTGAACCTCTTTCAGATTTGTCCCTTTTTCAGGTTTGCTCTTTATCTTTTCCAAGAAAATATAGTCACAGTAGTCTAAGCTTACTTAGCTTATCCCCCGAGGGTCTTCTTTCGCAAAGGCGAAGACTGATAGAACCATTTCACTAATTAAAACGCTGACTATTAAAAAGAGCAACGTTTAAAAGCCTCTCTATGCGTGGCCACTTAAAAGCACGAGAAGTATAACCGGTCTGGACGCTGTCGTCACCACGGAAATGCAGCTATGAGAAAAATCACCGCCCCAATTTCTACCGATGGGGCAGCTGCCTACGCCACCCAGAAACCGACCAAAGCAGGACGGCGGTCGATCAAGGAAAACGGGAGAGGCGTTGCCGAGGGCGGGGCAAGCTCGCGCTGGGCCGCCGCGACGTCACGGAAGGCTCGGCGGCCCGGAGCAGGCGCACCTCCCCAACCACGCCTCACGCCCCTGCGAGGCGGGGCTTCAGCCTCGGAGGGCGGGCGAAGCTGCTGTGCACATGCGCGCGAGGTGGGGGGCTAGTGGGACGGCGGTTTTGTGGCTGGGCTCTGGCACGGGAGGCGGCCGAAGTTACGGCGGTTTGCTGGGTCTCGCTCTCCGGCGGCGCGCGCGCGGGGCAAAACCGGGGAGCTTCTCCTTCGCCGCTCGCTGCGCCTCATACTGGGAAGGCTCCGGACTGGAGTGGGAGCTGCGCGTCTCCCGCCCTCGCGTGGCGCCTGGGCTATGCCCCGTCCGGCGTTGCTGGCGTGAAGGTGAGGCCCCGGTTCTCCTCGTTGGTCCCGCTGCTGCCCGACAGGTGCCTCGGCAGGGGCCGCCTCTAGGGCCCCCCGTGGGCACCAGACGTTCGCCCGACTTACCTTCCTTCGCCGCCTTTGGGAAGCCTGTGGTCCGTGGGGTCTCCTTCCAGTTTGGGGGCCCATAGGTTGCCGCTGATCTCCCCCCCCCCGCACTCCCTTTCTTACCCCCCGGGTGCTGTGCGCGCGAACTTTCGTCGGTGTCTGCCTGGTTGCCTCCTGCCCTCTCTCCCCCAGCCCCGCCTTTTCACCTTGCTTTTTCTTCCTGCCTGCTTGTGTTCGTGTTTTGGTAGCTCGCTCTTGCTGTCTCTGCCTGAGTAGGAATTGTTGGGGCACTTTCACGTCCTGATCTTTTTCCTTGAATGTTTACTAGTGGTTGCCTTTATACTACTAATAGTGTTAATCCTGCAGTTCTTGCCAGGTATGTGGGACTCGCGTTTTAGGCTGCTTCCCTGGGTGCCTGGCGTGAAAGAGGGACCAAGTTAGTTCCTGTCTCTCGGGATTCCTGGATGCAGCTATTTCTATTGCTGCCTTGCCCACAATCTATTTCGGTGTGTCCTGCCCTTAATCCTGCCTTACCCCTTTCTGTGACCTACTGTAAGTCTCATATTTGGCGAATTGGCCTTGTAAAGCTGTTAGTCCTCACCTGGTTTTTGCAAAAGGAATTATGACCATATGCCAAACCACACTGCATACAAATTTTTATAATTTTTCTGTTGTGACTTAATGTGATGATCAGTACTGTAACTCTAAGAAAAGTTGGCTTAACAAAATCATTTGTGAAAAAACTTCAGAGAACATCTGTTTTGCCCCACTAATTGTATCCTGATAATATAAGTGCAAAAGCTTCAAGATAATTCCTTCATCCACAATTGGTTGTGCCAACTCACAAAAGTTGAAACAATTTAATCTTTCCTTAATATATGCCTGCATTGACATAACTGTAGTGGATGAGTTTTTATTATACATTAATGATTTCTCATTTTACTTTTCTTAAAATAAGAGCAGTAGATATAATCCTTGCTGTTTTAAGCCAGATGTCCAAAAAGTTTCAGGTTTTAGTAAAGGTTTGCATTTAAAATATTTTGTTTTTCTTGAATTACAATCCTTTTCTTTGTGTAGTACTTGATAGCATTATTTAGGACTATACCACATGTAAAGAAATAGATTTAAAGTACTCAGATGAAAAGTAGCTGTATTTATTATAAAAGGAACATGTAAGCATAGGCTTATTTGTGGTACAGTAGTCAAAAGGCTTAGCTTTGTCCCTTTCTGTTCACAAAGGCTGCTATTTTCACCTGATCTCAAATAAATGTAAACGCAAGTGAGGATAACAAGATGGAGCATTGTCTTTTTAATTAAACATTCCTGAAAAGCATCTAAAGGATATATTTTTAGATAACATATTGTCTGTTGATGTTTATTCTCTTTAAACTGATTAGTCAGTTAATTATCTGGTGAGTTGCTATTGTCAGAAGTGAAAAGATAAAGCAATATTAATGTTCATTCTCTGTAAAAAGATATTGGGCTAAGTGTAATAGTTAAAGGCCTATTAATTAAAAAGCATTTTGTTGAAATCTGCAAACTCTTAAAAGCAGATGATTTGAAAATATCAGTGCTTATGATTTGTTCCATATCAAATCAATCAAGAATGTAAGCAAGTAATGCTCTGCAAAAGAACTCTGACTAGTGGGGTCCAGAAGGCAGGCCTTCTCTGCTGTAGCCCCCACCCTTTGGAACATCTTGCCCCAGGAGGTGAGACAGGCCCCTTCACTCCCGGCCTTTCAGAGGGATTTGAAGACCTGGCTCTGCCATCTGGCCTGGGA